GGGGGGGGGGGGGGGGGGGGTCAGTGCTGGCCATAGACACTGCTGTAATTGGATGGGGGCGGGGGAAGTAGATGGGAGGGGCAGATACTGGCAAAATGCGGTCTTTGTGTTAGCCAGCCTCCCCTACTGGTGACCCTGACCTACTTACCCCCTGACCACCGCTGATTACGGCAGCGGGGAACAACATCCATCCCCTTGATTGTGAGACGTCGCTATGCTTGCAGGGGTCCCCTGTATAGGCTTAGGAGTAGTAGGTAGTTAGGCAGTGAGAGGTGAAATTGAGAGAAGAATATAGCTTAGTAGTGGGTAAGTAGGTAGTGAGAGGTAGAAAGCTATGCTTGCAGGGGTCCCCTGTATAGCCTTAGGACTAGTGGTAGGTAGTGAAAGAAAGATATGTTCCATGACAAGGCAGAACACCAGTTAGAAAATATGTGAGGTGAAATATATATATATGGCTGTACCTCGATGAGGAGAAGGCAGCTTTATAAGAAAAGAAAAGAAAAAAGAAAAAAAAGGAAAACAAAAAAACGTAAGGGCCTCCCTGCACTACTCCATCACTCGTGGCGATTTGCGAACCATGTGCCTGACGCTACACCGGCAGGGTAAGTGATGAGCAACGCTGAGGCGCTTCGGTTGCAACTCCCCCCGGAGTGAGTGATGTGCAGTGCTGAGCGCTGAACTCACCTTGCGGTGGTCCACACCCATGCGGCGGGGTGAGTGATGTGCCGCATTGAGTGTTGAACTCACCTCACCAGTGCATGGTTTGCCATACCATCCAAAATCATGCTGCTTTGGGGCTGAGTGAGTGTCCAAACCACACCTCGTGAGTCGGGACTCCCTCCCCCCCCCCACTCCTCCCCCCCTTGAAAGGCTAAGAGGAACCATCACACCACAACAGGCGCATTGCAGGCGGGGGAACCTGTTTAGGGGTGAGCACTCTGCCGGATATTCTTTCACCCATTTTCACTTCCGAGACCATATTGAAATCGTTGTATGGTACAAACTTTCCCTGTGAAATCCCCAATAAGGTTTAGGTAACTTACCCCTCAAATACAGAATGACATCAAAGAATGTCAGGTTTGGCAAGAAGACTACCCAAGAGGCAAACAGGATAAACTACATGTAGTGGAAGAAATAGGAACGCTTGCACTGGGAGCTAGCCTGAAACAGATAAGAATATTGGTGGAGCCTACCAGGAGTCACGTTGTGTCCTTTAAACTCTAGGCTAAAGGGGACCCCATAGTATAACTGAAACTTGACCTATAGGCATGCATTTGGCGAGAGAGACGAAGTGACCATAAAGATGTTAACTTAGCAGTTTATTCTCCGCAATTGGTTTATACCCTGTTCGCCTCGGGAAGGAGACCATTGGAAGTTGCAATTGAACGATGGGCACACTTGCTCGACATTCATGCGGTTGAGATAAGGAACAAACTTTTGAGTTATTGGGAACAACTTAGAAGATCACCCTGCATTGTCTTTCATTCGTAGCAAACTATGAGTTTGTTGGGAGGTTCATTATCACATTTATCAAAAACTTCAAGTTCTGACTGTGTAGCACTGTCGTACCAAATACCCTTAGGCGTGTGTTTTGCAAGTCATGTTGGTGCGGCCTCGTCTGAAGTTGACGGCGCGCTCGCGAGTGAGAGTTAAGCCCTCGCACGGGTGAGCGGCGCGTGTGGGGTATTGACGGCGAGGCACAACCATACGCGGCTTGACGGGACGTGCAGCCCCTAGTCCCCTGATTTTTATTCCCTCACGTTTATATTTATTTATTATTTTTTTCTACTTTTATTTTTACAAATATCTTTGACCCGGTGACCGGCGGTTCCGAGACCAACATCGGACCCCATGGGCCTGGCTTGGCTTCTCCCTTGCCAGACACGGGTGGCCGTTATGGCAGTCAAGGACCTTGATCACGCCTCTCTTTCAGTGGGGCCGTTCAGGGTTCCGGCGTGTTCTGGATGCTGGCGAAATTCCTCTATCCGCCCATCTTCAAACTCGGACCAGGGAGTTCAACGTGCATGCGAGCCGGTGGGTAATTAGCCCACGAGGCAAAAAGAAACATGGGTGGCGAGGGTCACTGCAGACGCACCGTCCGCGGGCCACGATCTGGTGTGAGAGGTTTGAGTAAAAAGAGGCATGTGGGACCAGCACCTAAGGACCTAGCTCCGACTGGTACACTCGCAGACTATGTGAAACAGGTCTGTGGGACCAGCAATTGAGGACCTAGCTCAGACTGGTACACCTACGGACTGTGTGAAACAAGCCTATGGGACCACGGCCTGAGGTCCTATCTCAGACTAGTACACTCACGGACTGTGTGAAACAGGCTTGTGGGACTAACACCTGAGGATCTAGCTCAGATTGATACACCCGTGGACTGTGTGAAACAGGTCTGTGGGACCAGCACATGAGGGCCTAGCTTAGACTGGTACACTCGCGGACTCAGGAAAATAGGCATATGGGAACAGCCGCCAGCGGGCCTAGCTCAGTTCGTACACCCGTGAACTGCTGAAAACAAGCTTGTAAAACCAGCACCGGCGGGCATAGCTCAGATTGGAATAGCTGAACTGTGGAAATACAGATCCAAGTTCGAAATCAAATATTATTGGATGGACAGGCTAAGATTAGTTCGAACAATTTGTCCCACCTATATTTTCCTTATTTATTTTACTTTCGTTTTATTTTTAATTATTTTTATTGTTTGATTTTTTACTCTTTTGTAAATGTTTGTCGTAATTTCCTATATAATGAATCATACGCTTGGGTCTGGGTGGATTCATCCGTACCTGGAAAGGGCAACAACCGACGTGAGACGCAAAGTTGTCGGAGAGTACATCTGCTTAGCTCGACGGTCATGGGGCAGAATCGTTTCTTTGTGTACGCTGAAAGTTTGTCGGGCTGTTGGGTGGACCGAGTAGTGTTAGTAAGAGATCTGAGGTCGAAGGCGAGGGGGAAGAGTTTATGAAGAAAAGAAGGAGGTGACGGCAAAACGAAAATGAAGAAAGAAATGGCATGGCGGACTATGAGACTCACATCCCGCCCGTTTCTTAACGAAACTGGGCAAGGGAGGAGTCGAAATACAGGTTTTTCTTGTAGGTGAATCTGATGTTGCAGTCGATTTGCTCGATGGTGTAGTGTATGGGGAGTTAGAGAAGAAAAGCGTGTCGGGGTAGAGCCGAGATGAAAAGAAAAAAAAAGACTAAGAGAAAGAAGGTTGTAACTCGTTCATTTCCCAGCAGGTTTGAGCGAAAAAAAATGCTAAATGAAGGTTTTCAAGCGCTCTGGGTCAAATGGCTGGACTAGTTTTTGGATTCGGGTGCCGGTTTCACGTTATAAGGTAAAAACGTTGCGCGAAGGAGGTAGTGGAGTATGAACAGGAGAAGGAAGGGTTATGGAGATGATACACTCATCCTCGATGAAATCGAGAGGGAGGAGGTAGGTTGAGGTCTTGCCCCACTGCGAATTAGATTGTAGAATTAGATTTAGCACTGGGTTGGTAGTTTTGTTGCCTCGACAGTTAGGGGTTACGCTAACGAAAGGTGAAGTTGGCAGTGTATCTTTCCGTGTTATAGCGGAAGATTCATTCTTATTTGGCACATTGGTGACAGGTGGTCGAATTGTTGTTCGTGGTCGCGGAGATCGAGTTCATTGTGTTACTCGTCATCTAGCTCATCGATGATATCTTCATCTGGTAGTCGCGCACCCCTCCTCATAGTCATTGCCACCGCCTCGTCGTCATAATCAACGAAGTGTTGATCATCGTCTTCCTCATATTCCATGTTGGTCGCATTTTTCGTCATCATGCAACAATTTTTCTAAATAATTGCGATTCTCATGCTTGTTCTGATTGTCGTGCTCTACCCCGCTCACTATTGCGATTCCGGTTTAACTTATGCCCGTGTTGCTTACCGTGATCGTCCCCATCTCACTGCTACTCCTGGCTTACTACGAACGATCCCGGTCGTGAAAACGATCAGGTACATTCATACACTGAGGTTGCGGCTGTCGCAGATAGATAGATAGATAGATAGATAGATAGATAGATAGATAGATAGATAGATAGATAGATGGAGAGAGAGAGAGAGAGGGAGAGGGGGGTAGGGGGGTAGGGGGGTTTGTGCATATAAAGAAGACTGGTAGGACCTCGATAGGATAGGGGATCCGTGCTTACCTGACTGGGGCGACTACGCGAATTTGAAGGCCCAACCACCGTGCAGATACGGCGATGCAACTTTTGGTGATCCAGAGGACGTCTCAGCTTCAGCAAGAGTCGTTGCTCGACAACATTGTTCGCATAGCTTGTGTCCGTAAGGCTGTTAGCTGCAGTGTGGTTGTTCCCCCCTCTCAACTAGTGAACGATAAGGGAGCCCCTGCAAAACCTCCAATGGAAAACACCCAACGACAAACATTTGTTTTCGAATTAGCCCATTCATGCAAAGTCTGTGTCCTCTGTGGAAGACAATTCATATATGCACCTTGAACCATACATAAAACAAGGTACAGGAAAACGCACATATAACACAACCATATAAGAACCCTCATAAAAAAAAAATATGTACGTATATATTATACCCACTTCAAAACACGAGCCTCTCTTCGGGTTAGTCAAACTATTAGCAAGGTAATCACTAATTATTAAACTT